AGAAAAACCCAGACAGACCCCTGAAGCATTCTTTAAATTCTCTATTTCATCTAGTCTTTAAATTTTAATCATGCATTTGTTTCAAAATGGTTGCTATGCATTCAAAGCCATGTATTATAATGAAAAATTATTTTAGTTAGAGCTTCTAAAATATTGTTACAATATAGTTTTAATATTAAGTTAATTTGATTAAACATTTATAATTTTTTTTAATCATAAATTAAAGTTCTTACAGTGTATTTGAATAAAAATCAAAAAAATCTGATTTAAATCAAAAAAATCCGATTTAAATCAATAAAATCTGATTCTTTTGATTTTTTTTAAAAAAATCAAAAAAATCACGAACCCTGGTTTTAGTACAGAAAACAAGATTTCTAAAACTTATTTTCTTCTTCACCAGAATTATAATTCTAGATTACTAACTCATGTCTTATTTAATACATAATTATTTTTCTTATTAGTCACTTATTAAAGCTTTGATTAAAATAATTTATCAAAATATAATTTATTAAGATAGAAAAAATTGTGACATCGTTGTTTACTAAAATAACAATACATTAAATTGTTTATATGAAATTTTCAAAATATTTTTAATTCAATGAATATTATCACGAATATTTAATCATTTACAGCATTTATATCTTTCAGAAAAGTAACAAATCACCTGATACACAGCAGATTTAGGGAGATCTAAGCAAACAGCGCAACATAAAATCTCTTGCAAACGATCTTCAAGTTCTGGCTCATCAGATACCTTCTGTTTTTTACTTTTTGATTCTTCACAATCTTCATCAGTATTCAAATTACCATCACAAGATATAGAATTTTCAGACATTTTAATTTTATGTAAAATTTCGTTCACCTAGAATTGAGTTTATTCAGCTTAATATTTAAGAAGATTTTTTTCTCCCTTATATTTGTTTGGTTTTATTTTCGCTTTTTTCAAGTTCAAGACGCAGTGGAATTAATTCAGTTCCGTTCATCATTCAATGCAAGAGAACAAGTGCCGGGATTTCAAAAGTTACATTATTGTAACTTTTCTGCCTTCAAGTCTTAAATGATAAATTTTATAAATTTTTACTACTTAATCTTTTCAGAACTAGCTCTACAATTTTATTTAAACTCATAATGATTAGTAATTCAGTGTTTTCCTCTAGAAATTAATTTAACTGTAACTTTTTGATCTGCTCTGAATGTTTTGGTCTTGGCATTCGTACGTCACATCGTGGATAGCAATATTTTTCTTCCAAATACTATTCGTATTAAAATTATGGTTGTAAAAATTAAATCCAACTATTAATGATGTACTTATTATCAACTCGAAAATAATTTATTTTTGAAATTTCAATCACAGCAAACTCTGTAATGAGACTATTATGTACATTCGTGTATTATTACGTAAATTAACTGGTATGAATGTAATTTATTTTTAAGTCTTGATTATTTTCTAATTTTGCATTAAATTTGAAAATATGTAAATGTGTATTCATGCTGTTGGTCTTAACTCTTAATGGGATTTTCTAAACTATGAAACCTTTTATGTGCAGTTCTCAAGACTGCAATTGTTCTGCCCAATATTTTTTTCATTGTGGAAGTTATGTTAGTTTTCATGCTAGTAATGTTAACTTCTAGTTTCAAGCTAGTAATATTCACTAATGCAACTTTTTGTTAGTTTTCATGCTAGTTATAGAAAATATTAAGATCTAATTAAATTTTCAGTTGCAAATTTTTTAAGAAGGGAACATTATCCGGTTACAAAAATCATATAATTGCTAGTGCTAACCATGAGTTATCTTGAACCTGTGCACTTATATAAACTTAAATTTGAATTTTGGGTTGTGGGTATTTGATACTAGCATTATCAGGGGTCTGTCAGGGTTTTTCTGAGAGGTAAAATTTTGTGAAAATTGAGACATAATTTCTGAAAGTTATATGAAAAAATCAACACAAAAATATTTATAGTTTCCTACGGGAAGCAAAAATAATATTTTATTAATTGTAGTTTTCTAGAATTGCATAGATTTAAGAAGAAAAAAATTTTTTTACATTTTTAAATATTCTATTTCTAAAATGTAGTTTCTCTAACATGGCATGGTTATCATATTGTTTTTGATTATAGTTGTGCCTATGTGAATATTTTTTTAAAAATTTTATTTCATTTCATATTCAACATATCTTTTTTTTTATTTTTTAGAACTTCATTAAATGTTTGCAGTTGAATACAAGAATGAAAAAGCAATGGATGTCTCTAGCGATGAAGAACCATATGATAGTGATTTGATCGATAGTGATGTTGAAGCTGAATTATACAGTGTTATACATCATGAAACAGATAATTCTACTCTAAATTTTGAAAATTCCTACCACTCTTTAAATTCTTCAAACAAGGAGAATGCTTCCACAATTTTAGATTATAAGGAATTTAGTACTATTGCTAATGTTAGTTTTGAATCTAACCAGAATATGTTAAAGAACAACAATAGTATTACTTCATCTAATGTTCAAGTAATTGAGATAACTGATAAATTGGCTGATGATAAAATTAATAAAAATACTTATTTAAATTCTTTAGCGGATTTTTCCTTTAAACGAAAATCCGATTCAGCGTTTGATGATACTCAAGCTTCTAAAAAGCAAAAAAACAATGAAGAGAATACTTCTAAAAGTCAAAACTTAATTAATTTAAAGTCTAATGAAACTGTTGTTTTGAACTCTAGTGATATTTCAAGTGAGGAAGATGATGATAATGATATTATATGTTTAGGACCATTAAATAGTCAGAAACACTTTGAAACAAATGTATCTGAAATTATTATAACAGATTCTGATTCTAACAGTGCTGATAGCTGGTGTTTCAAATCTCCTAAATTCAACACATCTATTCCAAGTGGGACTAGAACCAAAGGTATTAGTTAACTATTTTGAAAATCTGTGATTAATATAATTTTAGAGTTTTAGTGACCATACATTTGCGAAAAAAACTTCAGCTTGGATTAAATGTGAAAATTAAAACAAAAATATGCAATACTGGTATTTCACTTTGTGGTTGTCAAATTTAGTTCATGTAAACTTGTCTATTAATATTTTTGCAAAAAAGACCTGTCATATGATTTACAGTAATAGCAGCTGCTCTATTATTCCTCTCGTACTATTATTTTAAATTGAACCATTTGTCCCATATTTCTCTTTTACTTTTATATTTATTAATTTAAATCTATCAATCAAAAAAATATATATTTGGTATATGATATATATTTAATATTAATGATTCTAAGGCTCTATACTTAACTAATATGTACTAAAACCGAATTTTATCTTGATTTTAAAGAATAAACACTTTCAATAAAATTCATATTGACCTTGTACATTTTTCATATCTTTACAATTATATCTATCTTTTGAGAAAAATATTTAACTGTTTTATTAATTTTTTAATAAAAATAATTGTATCTAAATTCTCAATAATAAAATTTTTTCTTCGGATCATTAAGCATTAAACTCAGATCTTCTCTAATCACACTTTATCTTTTTCTTTCTACAACTTAATTTGGCATCAGATGAGGTTTTTAGCCCAAGTTAATATTATTATCCCATTAGTTATTTGTATTCTTTTTTTTGGCAAAGTACACCAGCTTGAGCTATTAAGCTTTACAATCAATATCAATGTTATTTATCTATTATTTTTATTACTCCATGTGTTACATGTTTAGTAATATAAAAAAAAAAGGAGTGACAACAACAAAATTCTTCAAAAAAAGTTTGTAATTTCTTAATGTAGTTTATAAAGACTTTTATAAAATTGTTAGAAATATTCTTTTTTTTATGTTTTAAATGTTTTTCTTTTTTTTTTTCTAGATTTTCTACTTTGTGTTTTAATTGGGTTTTGATAAAAACTATTTTAACTTAATATTTTTTATTAATTATTGTGTATATTAACAAAATTAGAAATAAATAATACAATTATTTTATTTCTTCTAAAACAATGACTAGAAGTTTCATATAATAAGGATAAAAATAATAATGGTTTAATCCATGTGATTAATATACCTAACAGTTTGTGCATACCTTGCAGGAAAAAATTATTCCTTGAGAAAACAGTTGATAATCCTGCAATTTTGGCTTTTTAATTTTAGTGTTGAGGAATTTTTGATAAAAATTCTTATCATTATTACAACTTTTAATAATTACTGTTATTGAAGAGGTTTCAAATTTATATCTAATATCTTATGTTCTTTTTAAAATTTTTGCAGCAGTCACTGGTTTTATAACGTATAGTGCCACAAAAATTAATTTTTTTTTATCTAATGATCAAACTTTCAGGTACAGGACTGACAAGGGAATGACCTCAAATATGCTAATTAGTGTTGATGGTATTTCAAGTTAAAAAATCATACGCAGAAAGGTACTTCCTCTGCTTAAACGACTCTTTTTTTCTATGGATTTGGATTCCTGGTGGTTGTCAAAAAATAGAAATGTGGTCTTATAAGTTTAGTCACAGAAGCGGTCGAAGGTTTGGACCCCTTAATGTTAATTTTCCTTTCAGTATGTTTCACTGTATCTTAAACTTATTGGAAAAATTTTGTGCACAAAATTCATTTATATTAAGATTACTCCATGCAAAAACTATCCTTTTAATACTATTTATTTTTATTTTGTTTAATAATAGCTGTAAAATTTTTTAATTGTGATGTATACAAATTTTCACCCCATTTTAAAGAATGTAATTTTATAAGGCAAAATAAAAATTTAAGTGAAATCAGTCAAACAGTTCTTGAGAAATTGAATTTCAAATGACTGATTTAAGACATTTAATAACTTTAAGTGTCAGATTTCAAACTTTTTTAAAATTAGATTTCTCAAAAGCTATTTGATCAATTTCTTTCAAATTTTTGTATTTTCCCTTATAAAATTGCATTCTTTAAAATTGTGTAAAAATTTGTATACCTTATTCAATTCAATTTTTTTTAACCATTAGTAAATAAAATAATAAATAAATAATTTTTAAAAGATATTCTCTAAGTAAGTCAAGATATTGCAGCAACTATTTGACCAATTTCTTTTTTGAATTTTGCTGGTAAAAATTATGCTTTTCGAAATACATTAAAAATTTGTTCTTTACTTTAAAATTTTTTACTGTAATAATTAAACTGACAATAAATAAAATATTATTGAATAAAATAATAAATTATTCTTAAAAATTGTTTGCCGGGAATTACCTTCGGATCAACAAATTTTATAATTTTTCATTTCACAGAAAAAGTTCTCGTTGTAATGGTGATATATACAAAAAATAAAATTTGCATTAAGGGGACCAAACTTTCGATTGCTCTCCTGGTCTAAATACTGGGACCATATTTCCTTGATAGTGACTAACCCTTAACCTTGATTGTGATTAACATATTTATTAGCAGATTTGAAATCACTCCCTCGAACCAAAAATCATCGAGCATAGCAGCAGGTACCACAGATAATCACACTTTCTTTAGGTTTTGTTTATCACAGATTTTAAAATTATAATAGTAGTAATAAATTGCTAGCANAGAAAAATATTTAACTGTTTTATTAATTTTTTAATAAAAATAATTGTATCTAAATTCTCAATAATAAAATTTTTTCTTCGGATCATTAAGCATTAAACTCAGATCTTCTCTAATCACACTTTATCTTTTTCTTTCTACAACTTAATTTGGCATCAGATGAGGTTTTTAGCCCAAGTTAATATTATTATCCCATTAGTTATTTGTATTCTTTTTTTTGGCAAAGTACACCAGCTTGAGCTATTAAGCTTTACAATCAATATCAATGTTATTTATCTATTATTTTTATTACTCCATGTGTTACATGTTTAGTAATATAAAAAAAAAAGGAGTGACAACAACAAAATTCTTCAAAAAAAGTTTGTAATTTCTTAATGTAGTTTATAAAGACTTTTATAAAATTGTTAGAAATATTCTTTTTTTTATGTTTTAAATGTTTTTCTTTTTTTTTTTCTAGATTTTCTACTTTGTGTTTTAATTGGGTTTTGATAAAAACTATTTTAACTTAATATTTTTTATTAATTATTGTATATATTAACAAAATTAGAAATAAATAATACAATTATTTTATTTCTTCTAAAACAATGACTAGAAGTTTCATATAATAAGGATAAAAATAATAATGGTTTAATCCATGTGATTAATATACCTAACAGTTTGTGCATACCTTGCAGGAAAAAATAATTCCTTGAGAAAACAGTTGATAATCCTGAAATTTTGGCTTTTTAATTTTACTGTTGAGGAATGTTTGATAAAAATTCTTATCATTATTACAACTTTTAATAATTACTGTTATTGAAGAGATTTCAAATTTATATCTAATATCTTATGCTCTTTTTTAAATTTTTAGCAGCAGTCACTGGTTTTATCATGTATAGTGCCTCAAAAATAAATTTTTTTTATCGAATGATCAAATTTTCAGGCACAGGACTGACAAGGGGATGACCTCAAATATGCTAATTAATTAATGTTGATAGTATTTCAAGTTAAAAAATCATACACAGAAAGGTACTTCCTCTGCTTAAACGACCCTTTTTTTCTATGGGTTTGGATTCCTGGTAGTTGTCAAAAAATAGAAATGTGGTCCTATAAGTTAGGTCACAGAAGCGGTCAAAGGTTTGGACTCCTTAATGTTAATTTTCCTCTCAGTATGTTTCATTGTATCTTTAACTTATTGGAAAAATTTTGTGCACAAAATTCATTTATATTAGGATAACTCCATGCAAAAACTATCTTTTTAATATTTATTTTTATTTTATTTAATAATAGTTGAAAAATTTGTTATGCATTCAAATTTTCACCCCATTTTAAAGAATGTAAGTTTATAAGGCAAAATAAAACGTTTAAGTGATATCAGTCAAACAGTTCTTGAGAAATTGAATTTCAAATTACTGATTTAAGACATTTAAAAACTTTAAATTTCAGATTTCAAACTTTTTAAAATTAGATTTCTCAAAAACTATTTGATCAATTTCCTTCTAAATTTTGTGTTTTTCCTTATAAAATTGCATTCTTTAAAATGGTGTAAAAATTTGTATACCTTATTCAATTCTTTTTTTTTTTTTTTTTTTTTTTTTTTTTTTTTTTTGACCATTAGTAAATAAATAATTATTAAAAGATATTCTAAGTAAGTCAAAGAATTTGATATTTAAGCAATTCTTTTTACTTGACCATTTTCTTTTTTGAATTTTGCTGATAAAAATTCTGTTCTTTAAAATAAGTTAAAAATTTGTTCTTTACTAAATTTTTTTACTGTAATAAAATAATTAAACTGACAATAAATTAAAAATTATTGAATAAAATAATATATTATTCTTGAAAATTATTTTTTGCAGGGAATTATCTTCAGATCAACGACTTTTATAATTTTTCATTTCACTGAAAAAGTTCTCGCTATATGGTGATATATACAAAAAATAAAATTTGCATTAAGGGGACCAAACTTTCGATTGCTCTCCTGACCTAAATATTGGGGCCATATTTCCATGATTGTGACTAACCCTTATATTTTAAGGGTAAAGAATCCAAATCCATCAACAGAAGGTTATATTTATTGTCTACAATAAATTAGTACATTTGAAGTAACTCCCTCGAACCATTAAGATTGAGTTCTTCCCCAGTTGCAAAAATCATCGAGCATAGCAGCAGGTACCACAGATAATAGCACCTTCTGCAGGTTATATAAATCGCAGATTTTAAAACGATAATAATATATATAGTAATAAATTGCTAGCAAGACAGTGGCAGTTTTTTTCTTGTTTAAAGTAAGTAAAACAGAGATCAAGTGCCAAAGTAAAGACTTTGCTTTTTTTTCAAGAGAAAGAGAGTAAAGATTTTTCTTCTTTGAGAAATCAACTCTGACTCTTAAGATAACTGTTCAAGCATGTACAGCTTGATGAAATGTAAATTTCAAAGAATTTAAACGTACTATTTAATTTCAATTACTATTTTCAAATTCTAATAATTTTTATTAAAAAATTCAAATTTTGCTACAAGTTTGCATAAGTTTAGTTTTTATATTAATCTCTACTTGATTGCATTTTAGTTGTAGGCAAAATTTCTTTTCTGAAGAGGATGTTGCATGTTAGCTCATAAAATTCTGTTACCTGAAGTCCTAATACATGAAAATCTGATCATTATATCAAAAGTTATTCAAATGATTTATTTTTCTTTCTTTTGTTCACTGCGAATATGTTCTTTATTTTCAATAAATTTTCAACATGTATATTATAAAAGGCCTTTTTTGATTATGCTATTTTCAAAGTATCAGAATTTCGCTAAATGTTTATTATCAATCCTTTTTGATTTTAAAACGTTATGCTCTAAATTTTTGATTTAAATTTTCATATATAGTGAAACCTCCAGGAAAGACTACCTCTATGTCCAGGGGTCTGTCTAGGCCAAATTGACTACCGTTTAGTGGTACCTTCACAAAATCAGCTTTAGGAAAAACAGTAGTTTCACTAAAAACTTTTTCTTAAAATTTTATTTTTATATCCCGTAAGAAACGATAAATCCATATTTTTACTATATTATGTGTTGCTTTTTTAATATAATTTTTAATTTTCACAAATTATGCCTAAATTTTCACACATAGATACCTTTCAGAAAAACCTAGGCTGACCCCTGCTCTCCCAAAGACCTGGTAAACATCTGCACCAAATGCGGAAAAGGCCAAATAAGGAAACTTTATAAAATATCAAAACAAAAAACTTATAAAACAAATAAGTAGATCAAAATTTATTAAAAATATTTGTGCGATGCTCTTATTTAGAGAGCTCTTTTTGACGATATAACCTCATGTTGCTGTTATTGTGCACTAAAGACTATGCTATCAATGATTGTTAAATTAGAAACAAAATAATAGTTGAAAGTTAAATTAGAAACAAAATAAGCATATCAGACAAAAAATCTTATCTTTTAGCGCTAACTAATTTATGTGATATAAAATTAAATGCAAACTTAAACAAAAAACATAATTGTTTATTTATTTAAAAAAGCTTTTTCATTCATAGTTAGTAAATTTGTTTTTATACATAATTATATCAGTTGGGATCATATTTATTGACACTAAATTTTATTCATCGATCCATCTTTTATTTCCGCAGCAATAAAATGACACTGACTAGAATTAAAATCGTCTGCTAAAAATCATGTACCTTTGATTACAATTTTGAAGCAATGGAGCTTACCTCTAAGAACACCAACCTCCATCAGTGTCAATTTTACTGTGAAACAGAAAGTGGTCTCTTTCGAGAGGTTTTACTGTATTTTTAGAATTTATTTAATTTTATTCATGTAATGAAATTTTTACTACATTTCAATATCTATAAAATTATAGAGTATCTTTGAATTTCTTAACTTTTCAGATCAATGGTTTGTAAATGCTAATGATATATATCGTTCACGTCGAAGTTCTAGCCGTTATCATGAGTCTCAATTTATGACTTGTTCTCGTTGCAATCAGAAAGGTCATTCTTTTAAATTTTGCTCATTTTCTAAAGTAAGTTTTATCTTGCATATCATTACATTGTAAGAAATTTATTTCCTTAAATTTTTGTTTAATACATTAAGTTCATTACTTTTGTTTCTATTTTTAGATTTTGTATAAAATATTGCTAAAAAATATTTTTTAGCATTGTTGAGTGGTGCAGTTTTGTTTTCTTCAAAGTCATTAGTAAGACAAGGGAATAAAAACTTGAATATTTTTAATAGTATTTAAATTTATTATAGTTTGGTTTTACCAGGGGCTAATTTTTTTTCCAGCTTAATACCCATTTTTGTGTATTATAATTTTCTGAGAGAAAATTTCTTCAATTAATAAAACATATATTTTGAAGGAACTATTTTCTTTAATTATAGAAAATCATTAAGATACTTGTTTTTAACTCTTTATGACAAATGCTTGCTTATTATTTACGATTTTAACCTGTATTTATTAGCAATTAATTTGAATTTACACTACTTTAAAATACTTATCTTAATTACACTTTTTACAATTAAAATTTAATATACTAATTATTTCCTAACAATATAATAATAATAATGTAAAATAGTTTTGGATGATATAAATCGTTCATGTTAAATTTTAAAATTACACTACTTGCCATTAAAATTGCTACACCAGGAAAGCAACATACTGCGAACATAAAATTTCCAAGATGGATAAAGCATGTTGTGGTATGCAAATGATTAGTTTAACAGTGCATTCACGCAAAACAGGTGGCGGTAGCAACACCTACAATGTGTATATAAGAAGATATTTGACAGTAAGTTTCACATACAGAAATTAAATTAGACCGTTTTTCTTGTGTAAAAAAGTTTTTGTTATGCCTCAAGTAAGAAGGAGAAATGCCTACCAGTACAAGTCTGAGTTTGATCGAGGTCGAATTGTGGCCTGTCAGGATTGCGGTTTATCATACCGAAGTATTGCTGCTCACATTGGTTGAGATCCTGTGACTGTTAGCGGAATATGGATGGGGTTCCTGGCGGTCACATGGAAAGCATTGCAGGATCTCAGGAGCGCCTTCAATGCTGGTGTGATCAACGCCGAATATGGACGCAGGAATGGCATGACGGTGTCTTTTCAGACGAATCCAGATTCTATTTACAGCGTTATGATAGTCACATCCTAGATGTTTGGGGACATCACGATGGACGCCCATTGGTAGCTTGCATTCCACATCATCACACTGTCCCATTACCTGGAGTAATGGTAAGGGGTGTTATTGTATACACGTCTTTATCACCTCTTGTTCACATTACCGGCAGTTTGAACAGCTACCGTTACATTTCTGATGTGTTAGAGCCAGTTGGTCTGCCTTGGCCAGCATGTTCTCTTGATCTCTCACCAATTGAAAGCGTCTAGTCAATGGTTGCCGAACGACTGGCACGCCACCACTCATCAGTCACTGCCCAATGAATTGCGGCATAATGTTAAAGCTGCATGGAATGCTAAACCCGTCCATGCTATCCAATCTCTGTTCAACTCGATACCCAGGAGAATAACTGCTGTTATTGCTGCCAGGGGAGGCTGCTCTGAGTATTGATTCCTCAGGATCTAAACATCCAAATATCCTGAAAATTTAATCACTTGTTCTTCCAACTATAAAGCATGTGCCCAATAAATATCATTCTCTTATTTACAGTCCTTCCTTGTGTAGCAATTTTAATGGCCAGTTGTGTATTTTTTAATTAAATACATTTTTTGAAAAAAATTTCGCCAAATTTTCTGTTTAATTTATAGGAAAAGGCTTTCAAATTGTTTATCAATTAATCATTTTTTGAGTTTATTTTTTCAAATTGTTTATCAATTAATCATTTTCTGAGTTTATTTTTTAAAATTTTTTTTTATTGCCTAGCGATTGTTTTTTAGGATGCTTTCTCTTTTTATGATAATGAGTGAGTATTACTTTTTAAAATACACATATGAAATAGTATAAAAGAGTAATTTAGAAATTGTTAAATTCAGTTATAACATAATTTTACCCATTTGATAAATTTCTACAGTGTTAAATGCCTTTTTCTGCGAGGAAGCACCCTGGCTTATTTTATTCCTAAAGAGAACTTTGCCTTTTTGTTAATAATTAATAACCTGTATCTCTCAATGTCACTTACTACAATAAAATCATATTTAACTAAAGCTTTCATTCTGCTCCAGTAGAAAAATTCTGTTTAGTAATGGCTACACTATATTGAGTAGCATTAATGAGTCGCAGAATCATTGACTTCCGAAAAGAATTTGTTTATCTTTGTCAAAAGAATTTGTTTATCTCTGTGTCAAAAGAATTTGTTTTTCTTTTAACTACATGAAAATGATTTAAAACTTTTCCCACAGAGAACTTCATATCATTAGTCAGAAGTCTTGTTATGATTATTTACCCATGTGATTACTTTTTTTTTTTTTTTGTAGGGTATGAGATGTTTTATATGTGGTAGTGGCCGCCATAGCTCCTTTGGATGCAAAAGCAAAGTTTGTGCGAAATGCTTTGGAATTGGTCATGATATCAGGGAGTGTCCAAGAGAGCTTGACTTTTGTGAGATGTGCCAAATGCCGGGCCATCGGCGAGAAGTAATTATTTTCTTTTTTTTTAATCATTCTAAATTTATCATGTATTCTGCGTATTTTTTTTTCTAAATTCTTTATAACTAAATTCTTTTATTGATTTTAAACATTAAAAACTTAACTATATAATGGTAATGATTGACTTTAGTAAGATATGTCTAATGCCTGACCAACATTTTGCAATAATTTTTTTTTTTATTTCCTAATATTCCAGAATTCCTAATATTCTAATATGTATTTTGCTTGTTGGTTTTTCTAAATTATTGAAAACTATACTTTTTCATTTAACCTAAAAATTTACACTGTAATGGAAAGAATAGACTTGTGAGATTTTTCAAATGCCTGACCTCCCTCAAAGAGTAATTTTTATTTTCTTCAGAATTCTTGATAGATTATGTTTAGTGTTACTTGATTTTTCTAAATTATTGAAAACTTTATTCTTTATCTAACATAAAAACTTTACAAAATATGAAAGACTATTTTAGTTTTTTCCCGTTTTGTCATTTTCAGAATAACAAATTTAACATTTTTACTTCAATAATTTCTTTTATTGTAGATCTGTCCAGATTTATGGAGAAGATTTCAAAGAACTGTAAGATCAAGTTTTTAATGCATTATGCATCATTTTTTCGAAAAATATTTTAATCTTTGTATTAATGATTCATATATTGCCTTGTAGACTCCAAAGAAATCGAAAAAAATTTGGAGACTATCCCAAGATAGACCTTTCTTCTGCTATAACTGTGGTTTACCTGGACATTTTGGTGCTGTAAGAGATTTTAAAATTTTTATTTATGTGTTTTTCTTGTGTCAAAGTTATTATTTTGATAGTATTGCTATATACTATACTATAATCTCTATTAGTTTTATTTCTTGAATTAGCAGTTGTTCAGCAACAAAAACCAAATTTCCGTCAGCTGAAATTGATCAGTATTTTTTTAAAAATGCTGATGCTTTTTTACCATTTTTATCTTTTTTATTCATTTTATTTTCAGCCTGTACATATTTTTTTATTTCATTAAATTTTTTATCTTATTAAACTTATGTGTGTTACTTTATAGTTTTTTCTTTTTTAAAACTATTTCTAAATAACTTTTTTTAGTTGATTTTCATGAACAATAAAAAAAATGGCGTTTTGTAACAATTCAGAAAAATCAGTAATCTGGAATAGCGATAGTCCTGGACGTTCTGGATAATCGGTTCTCTAATGTATTACGTTTGCTACTTTGTATAACATTGAATATGTGTGTTTCCTCTTGCTTGTAAGAGGGTTTATAATATTTGGAGTTAAAAGATAGGTTAAATTTTATAGTAGAAAATTTACAATACCCTTTTCACTGTGTGTTTTTTATGTGAATAACAAAAGCATAATTTTTTCCCTCAGTGTCTCCTTCTTTATATATAACATATTGAAACTTGTACATTTTATCAAAAAATAGACTAAAAAAGTCATTTAATATATATGTAGCTTTAGGAGCAAAACTAATTTTAGATTTGAAATCCACAAACATTTATTAGGCAAGACCAAGTGTTTGTATAAATTGAACAAAAAATTTTTTATGTAGTGCAATTTGTCAAAAATATGTTCAGGAGACATGAACAGCTGTAAGTCTCGATTTCATTCAATAGTTTGCAAAGTAAATATTCTTAAGTGAATGTAATTGAGTAATTCATAGAAAAGCATACAAGATTTACATTACCTCTGTTTATTATTTATATTTTAACAAATCAGACTGATGGAATGTATTTAAACCCTTATGAGTAGAATGATATTCTCACAAGTGTTGAATATTTTTTACTAATTGCTTTAATCAAATAATCTTCAAGAAGTTTTGTTAAAATTGCTTTGTAAATCCAAGTTAAGCTCATGTGGCAGGATTTCATGTAAACTTATTGAACTAGATTTTTGTTAAAAATGTGTTTGGTAAACCTAGGATTTCATTAAATCAGAGGTCTTAATAGAGTTTGACTTTATTTTTTGTTGTCATTTTTAATCATTCTGAAACTCAGATTTTTTTAAAAATATTTGTCGAATTTTAAAAATACTATCAGAAGCAATTTTTCTTTGTTTCCTGAATTTGGTAAATTTTTAAAGAGAAACATTTTGTTTTCTATGTATATGAAAATAAGTTTAAATCATTACACTTAGCATATATCTTTGTAGTAACTGTAATTTTTTTATTATGTTTTGCTTATGGTATAGGAATTGCTTATGTATTGCCAGCTGCATTGAGAAAAAAAACTGTAAAATCTCACTAATAACTTAAAATATGTTGATAAATTTGGATCACAATGCAATTTCAATAATTTCTTCTTTTCAACGGGCATGTGATTCAAAATTTGTAAATTATTGATCATAATATTTGTATGCTGATATTTTAAATTGCTTTAAAACTTTACCAGGAAAAAATGATAAAATAAAATGCTATGTAAAATGTTTATAATTCTGCATTATTTTGAATATTTTATCTTGATGATTTCTTAACAGTTTGTTGGATTGCCAATTTACATATTTAGTAAAGGAAATTATAAATAAGTATGTAAATTATTTAAATGCTTTCTTTTTGTGCAAAATAGTTTCACATCTTTTTTTCTTCTTCTTAATCATATGAGATTATAGGTAATTTCAAAATCTTAGCTTTTTTTCCCGTTCTCATACCTGATTGATTTGCATCTCTCTATAAATTTTTTCAGGTATAAATATTTTTTTACAGGATAGAAAATATAATAAATATTTATAAACTATTACTTTTACTTGTCTTGTGTGTAAGGTTAAAAACTGAAAAAGAGGTAAAAATTTATTCCACTGTATATTAGAGTTATTATTCTATCACTATTTTGAAATAATATGTGATGCTTATTTTTTTAAAAAAATGGCCGTGTTTCTGAGTAGTAAAATGCGCTTCATGCTTCTGGGCCTCAGGCCCAGGACTCTATCCTTATCCTTGGACAGGGCAAGTTTGGCACAACCTTTCATTCCTTCAGAGAGTCAATAAAATTAATACCAAGTAGGCCTGCAGACTAAATACTAGGGGTTCTGTATTCGGCTAACCACACAACAACACTTCTCTATCATCCCAAAGCACAAGGACAGTAAAACTGCAATGTGTTCGGTTGACCTTGGGCCACAGAGTTTAATTTTTATTTAAGAAAAAAAGAAAGCATTTTACAGAAATATATTTTAAAATTTGTTCTTACTCTTGTTCGAAATATTACTAATTTTTATGTTTTTTGCAGTTGTGTAAGGGTCGTCGGATGAATACACTTGCATTTCCAACTTGGCCATTTGTTTTAAACTACAAAGAGCAAAATCAAAGCCAAGTAAATCCTGTCATAAATGTTTCAAATGAAAAATCTATCATGGCTACCCAACAACATTTTCCCAAGGGAAAAAGTGAGCTTTGTTTTAATTTTTCTGCTTATGATTACACTTTTTTTTATAAAATTGTGTTTTTAATTTAATTCCTATTCTTTCACAAGTGAAGAGATATTTAGCTTGAAAAAATATCTTGATTATTGGTGTAGTCTTAACATTTAGTTGGGTTTCTTGAATGCTTTATAAGGGATTGAAATATCCATGAATATTCAAAGTTATAAATATATGTATACAGTGAATTCACGATAACTCGAATCTGATAGGACTGACGAAAAACTTCGACATATCGGAAGTTCGACTTACCGTTAGTTTCGGTTTTGGACTTTCAAAATATTGCTGGATTATTTAATTAATGCTTATTTATTAATTACAAATCTTCTAAATGCTTGCAATATTTAAGATCATTTTTCTGACAAGCCATTTACGATAAGACTGTTTGAAGCACTTTATGATACCTTGGTCCATCGGCTGCAACTTTGCTGTTGTGTTTGGCGGGAGAAACTGCAAGTTTACTGCTTTCAAATTAGGTAGATCACTTTGCGCTGTGCATTTATCCATAAAGTAGTTATCAGTTTTCTTTTCCTAGCGAAGAATTTCCGATCCAATTTTCTTACATAGTCTTCAAATAAAACTGATGTCATCCAAAACTTTTTGTTAGACTTGTAATCCAAAGGATACGTTTTTACATTCTTGAAACATCGGGGATTTCGGTATTTTCCGATAACAAGTAAGGGCAATTTCTCTGTCCCAGACGCATTTCCTCCAACTAGGACAGTCAAACGTTCCTTGCTCATTTTACCCCCTGAGCAGTTTTCATCCTTAAACATCATAGTCTTATTTGGAAGACATTTAAAAAATAAACCCATTTCATCAATATTGAAAACATCATTTTAACTGTATCCTTGAAGTAAATTTGGTAACGTTTCATTTAACCACTGTTCACATACTTCAAGAGGGACAGCTTTAGCTTCTCCATGAAGAGTGCGAAAGACATTGTGTGTGTGTTGCAAAGGAAGGGGCAAGATATCAGCTCCTAGGTTTTTTTTCTTGCTTTAAAAGATCCAAAAAAAATCGAGTTAAAGGGAGTAAAGTTCGAGTAATCGAGAATAATTAACATGAAATTGAAGATAAAAGGGTCGGGACCTCATAAAAAAAACGAGTTATAGTAATATTCGAGTTATCGTAGTTCGAGTTATAGCGAATTGACTGTATATATATATGCAGTACGAACTTCAATTGATCATTTCTCATAGGACTATTCATTGCAAACGATATTACAGTAAAATGAAGGTACGAGTCAACATTAAATTTAAATAATTACTTAGAAACGTATGGAAAATAAGCAAAGACTTGAAAATTAATAAAATTCAAAAAATTTATAATGAAATTAATAAAATTACTTAATGCAAAAATATTTAGAAATTTTGGTTAAAACACACTGTTTTCTTCCCTGTGGAAATGATAAATATTCAACATTTGTTACAGAAGATGGAATATGAAATATAGAATATGAAAAACTTTATAGATGTGCTTATTTAGGACAAAGGAAACTTCTGCACTCTATAAAATACATGTTTCTAGTTGGGGAAAAATTTACTAATCTAAACTAAAAAAGAATCTGGCTAGTTAGTAATTCATTAAATATTAAGAAGTTAGTTTAACTTTTCTCTATAGAATGCATAACAAGATATTAGACTATTGCATTTAAATGCTGAATATTTCTGAAATAATAGTGCATATCAAAATCAACAACAATATCTAAACATTTGACAAGGGTTTAAAGAAAATATGATTATAAATTCTGTGAAAGGTACAATTTGCACAAAATACTGTGAAATAGCTCTATAATGTAAATAAATTGTTTAGTTTCAAAGTAGAAATAAATTGAAAACTATATTAATTATTTTCTTTTGCTTAATAAAAGAATATTTAACAATGCTTGTTTATGGTTTTTTGGATCACTTGTATTTACTTTAGTGCATTTTTTGCGCAAACTATAACTCATTAAAACATTTTTTATTCAATGAACAGTATCTAATCTACAAACTAAACATGTTATTATTTCCACATCTATCTTTTTTTTTTAATTTATGTTGCATTGAGACATTAAAATTTTAAAAAAAAAATACAAAACAAAATAGTTATTTTTTTCCATGTACTTTAGTTTTTCGACTCATCCAATTTAAAAAATTTTTTCATACAGTATTTGTATTATTCAGAAAAATAATTTTGAAATACAAAATTTTTATCCATTAAATTTTGTTAGTTTTTATTNTAGAAAACACTTTAAACAAAAACAAAATTTTCCTTCTTGTTTTTATTGATTTCAAGAAAATAAAATTTGCATCTAAACTGATAACAATAAACGAACATTTGATTACAATAAACGATGATTTTTCAATGTATTTTGATATAAGCGGACGGGACTAAGCTATTTTGATAACATTAAACGATTGATAACATTAACCGTGATCACATTAAGCGGCGTCTACTGTAGTTATTTTTTACCGTGTACTTTAGTTTTTCGACTCATCCAATTTACAAATTTTGTTCATACAGTATTTGTATTATTCGGAAAAATAATTTTGAAATACAAAATTTTTATCCATTAAATTTTGTTAGTTTTTATTTTATTTACTCAGTTTAAATAAAAGTGGCATAGTTCTGCATTTTATGTCTTTTTTTTTTTAAATTTTATTTTACAAATTTAATTTTTGAATTATTAATTTTTAGATAAAAAGATGAAAGTGAAGAAAACTCTGCCTGATCTGGGTAATATACAGCAAATTACATTCCCTAGGACTCCAAAAAATAGTCAAGGAAAGCCTCAAAATGAGACAATTGTGTTGAGAAAGACTCAAAATCAAGAGAAAAACTCCTAAAACTGGAAGCTAGAAGACAGGAAGCTAGAAAAGCAAAAAGATTGAGAAAAAAACAAAGAAAAGCTATGGTACTTCAAAGATCAATAGAAGCAAATAAGATAAACTTTCAAGTAAATTAAAATTTTTATGAAACTTTTGTAAACTATTATTTTAATTAATGTTTAACAAACTTTCCATTTAAATTTTACGATTTTTCAATTTCGCTGCTGAAAGTAGACCATGTTGGTTTAATGTTTTTGCTAAACAAATTAAAATATATTGAATACACAGCATATGCAAATTATATGGAAGAAGCCACGCCACAAAAATGCCCTAATTCTGAAATATTTAAAAAAAAAAATTTATATTCCAAATATTTGTATGTGTTCTGTCCATCCCATTTTCTACTTACACATATTTTAAAATAATTGATTTAATAAAAATTAGATTTTTGATCCAACATCATTTTATTTTAATTAATAAAGGTTGTAAAAATCAGAAAATTAGCTAGCAAAGAACTTGGGGACCGTGAACTAATTTATATATTGTTTAGATATATGCCCTTTTTTCATTTCTTCCGTATGAGTCTTGAAATAAGTTGTGCAACCAAAAAGTTGGATATCAATAACTATATTGTGACTTTCTTTTATAATTTATCTATAATCAATTGCAATTTCAAAATTACAATTTTCGAATTTTTTCATCGAAGATTAGTTCCATTAAAATTAATTTAAGTTTCATTTCTTTATCTGCGGACTTTAATTTATGTCTCTAACAACGACCTGAAGCAGATATATATCCAATGATTTGTCCCGGACTTACAGATATTACAGATTACATTAATTTCAGATATTCTGCAAGGATCCATCAGAAGTAAACTAAATTATAACCAATTTTTCTTGATATAGACTAATTTTATCTTAAGAATCAAATTTATGAAGAAAAAAACAATGTTGTCTTATTTTAATATTCTAGTACTAATACATAAATAAAAATTATTGAAAGCAGATAAAATTTTCATTATGATATAGATATTAATTATGATCGCATTTGAAAATGAAAGAGTTAAAAACTTGTGTATTAAAAAATAATACCAAGATTTAAATTTGATTTTTACGATTGCAGCATTTGCAAAAGTACAATAATAAAAAAATAGTTCAAATATAACAATATTTTAAAAGAAAAGACTTCTTTAAATCTTAATAATTTATAATGTGCAGCGTATGATCCCAATCAATATGGCAATTGTAATTTGGAATACAAAGTTGAGGAAAAAAATTATAAAAGAGCAATTGCATTTTATAATTAAAAAAAAGTTCTTTTTTAAATGGATTGAAATAAATATAAAATAAGTATCAGAATAAAAATTTGACATGAAAGTGCAAATAAATGTTTGTTTTTTTGTTACTTTATTTCACCAAATTTGGGTTTCAGTACAACTATTCGCTGAAGATTTATTAAAAAATCACTTTTTGACATGCTTAGTTCTATCACGATTTCACTTTTTAATCTTCCCCTGCTTGTTTTTTAGACTATATCTTCTTTTTTTAAACAGTTATTTTATAACCGTCATTGAAAAGTCGACCTATTTTTCGGGTTACAACTATGTAGCTTTGTAATTTTCACCCTAAGCCCGAATACAAGGGAACTCTTGGTTCAAGTATTTTATTTTATAAGCATCATTGAACAACCGACCCAATTTTATAGGTTTACGGCTACTAATGTTCAACTCCGTAGCCTTGTAATTTTGAACCCAATCCAAAAGACAAGGGATCTCCTGTATCGCGTATTGGAAGAAATTTGCTTTTGTAGTGTAGTTTTGACGGAGCTAACCCATTGCATTGAGAGGAAGACTACGAGAACCTCCCATGGTTATCCTGATGGCAAGGGGATTATAACCCATGACCATTGAGGATATTTCACATGGGCACTGTGGTTGGTGCAAGCCAGGTGCAGAATTCGTATAGATCAACCATAGCTGGGATTCGAAGTTGGCCAGTTCCACTCACTTTCCCAATTTTTTTTTTCTTTTAATGTAATATCTCGTATTTTAGTAATAATTTTTAATGCTGCACTTGTTTTGTGACGATTCCATAGTAAAACCCAATCGTTTTCAACTAGTTGTGCATTTTCATTCGTGTTTTTTTAGTTTTTAATTATAATATCAGTTGTTTAACATTTCCTGATCATTTTTAGACTACTGGATAAAGCTCTCTCAGTTAGAAATCTTTTTTTTTCTTTCAAAAAACAATATTTACTTTTCATGATAGCCACAATATGATTGTTGTTTACTTTCACTTCTATTTTAATATAATTTAAGCTTTGGTTGTTAAATTTAAACATGTAAAATTTTGAACTTTTATATTTCTAAGATTATTGCCTGGATATTAACACTGTTATTAATTAAGTCACTATTTACTACTTTTTCTAAAATGACCTGTGCTCAGTCCTGGTTTAACATTTACAAAACAATTAATAATTAAAAAAAACTACTAAAGCATTAAAAACTACTGCCAAATTATTATTTACAAAATAATTTTATCATTTGATAATTAAATATAAAATTCCAGAGTTGTATAATTTTTTATTAGTAANATGATAAACACTCAGGGGTGATTGTATCATCCCTCCAGGTATAAAAACTAAGAGCAAGCAATCGTGATTTTATTGTGGAATACCGCATTCCTTGAGGCCATTGATTCGCTAACTTTCTAGAATCAAAACTTATAATTCGACAATATTTACTCCGTAAAAGTAAGAATTAAGTTCTACAATCCAAAATTTAAATTTTGAAACCTTCACATGCATGAAAAAATATCCCATTAACAATATTTTTTCATACATGTGACTCTTCCGCAATTTTAATTTTTCTTTGGTTTGTATTATTTTTAATATTATGTAGGAATTCGCTAATATCAGTATTCATATTCTCCCGATTTTATTATCTACCTGATCTAAAAGTTACTCATTGTGAATTGTATTCATGCGATTTAAAAATTCAATACCTCAATTTGATTTTGAAATCAATAATGCGATTCATATACAGGGGATTTGAAAATCATGCATAGCAATTGTGATCTTAAAACTCTATTCTTGTAAGTTTTTCCTAAATTAGTTACTATAAACCTGTGATGTTCTTGATTGGTGGGTTAATTATAAATTTCAGTTCAAAAAATTATTAAATATGAACAGTAATCGGTAATGAGCTTATTTAATTCCATCGCAACTTTTCAGCATATTTTCTCTTGGCGATTATTCTAGGCACACAAAACTACATATAAGATGAACTGCTCACATGTGCGACGTTCAGATACTATGAGAATACTACACTCTTTTTTTATTTACTTATTTTACATGGTTTTTTAAATTCTGATATTTTTAATATGATGTTATGTGCCTTTTTCACTTTTAATCTATCACTTGTGATGCTTTCAATTCATTGCGATTCCATTGTAAGTCCATGTTTTCCTCTAGTTTTTTCATCATTTGATACTACTACCATGTTATATTATTTTTGATTAGGGTGATGTAAAAATGCACCAAATTTGGATTTCATTACAACTATTCGCTGAAGATTTATTCAAAAATCACTTTTTGACATGCTTAGTTCTATCACGATTTCACTTTTTAATCTTCCCCTGCTTGTTTTTTAGACTATATCTTCTTTTTTTAAACAGTTATTTTATAACCGTCATTGAAAAGTCGACCTATTTTTTGGGTTACAACTATGTAGCTTTGTAATTTTCAACCTAAGCCCGAATACAAGGGAACTCTTGGTTCAAGTATTTTATTTTATAAGCGTCATTGAACAACCAACCCAATTTTGTAGGTTTACGGCTACTAATGTTCAACTCTGTAGCCTTGTAATTTTGAACCCAATCCAAAAGACAAAGGATCTCCTGTATCGCGTATTGGAAGAAATTTGCTTTCGTAGTGTAGTTTTTGACGGAGCTGACCCATTGCATGGAGAGGAAGACTACGAGAACCTCCCATGGTTGTCCTGATGGCAAGGGGATTCATGACCATTGAGGATATTTCACGTCGGGACTGTGGTTGGTGCAAGCCAGGTGCAGAATCCGTATAGATCAACCATAGCTGGGATTCGAAGTTGGCCAGTTCCACTCATTTTCCTTTTAATGTAATATCTCGTATTTTAGTAATAATTTTTAATGCTGCACTTGTTTTGTGATGATTCCATACTAAAACCCAATCGTTTTCAGCTAGTTGTGCATCTTCATTCGTGTTTTTTTTAAAATTATAATATCAGTTGTTTAACATTTCCTGATCGTTTTTAGACTACTGGATAAAGCTCTCTCAGGGTTGCCACAGGCGACTTAAATGCAACTATTTTCGGCATGAGGCGACTTTGGCAACTTTTTTTGCCTGAAAAGGCTAAAAAAGCAACTATTTTCAGGAAAAGGTGACTATTGGGAGACTTTTCTGTACTCCTAGCGATGTTTTTTCTTTAAGCATAAATTGGGTGGAAAATCTGCTTCCCACAAGATAGTTTTGGAACACACTGAACTTTTTTTTTGCCCAAAAAATAAAAAATGTTGAAAATTTTGAATTGCAAATTTGAGTCTTCACTTTTTAATTCGTTCAATCTGCACAGACTCCATTGTAAGTCTATTTTATTTATCGATCGCCTTTTCAATGATTATTGCTACAAAATTCTGCATGATTTAAAATAAATAAATAAATTTAATACAATATTTCGAATTGGAGTAATCACTTTTCATATATATATATATAAACATTAACGTTTATATAAACATTAACGTTTATATAAACATTAACGTTTATATAAAAATTATCCTATTTGTCATAACTTGACTGAATGGATCATGGTATATGACAATTAAGTCATTAACAAAATTTTAGTCCTATTTTTGATGAATTTTTGTTCTTAGTTAGGCAACTATTTTCCTAGTTTTTGGCTACTATTTTCATGCTTTAGGCTACTAAAAGCAACTATTTTGTTCATTTTTTTCTGTGGCAACCCTG